CCCCCCCTGCTGAACCTCCATCCTTCACGGTCCACTCGGCGTCTCCTACCTTCCTCCAGGCCTTCCCCGTTGCCCTAGACTTTTATCCTGCACCCCGCAAACCCAACTGCCTCAATCTCTAAAAATGTGCAGTGGGTCCATTGTTGCTGTGGAAAGTGATCTGCCTGGCCAAGCCCAAGACCTCTACCCTGGGGGGCAGGCACTCAGTCATTCTTGGGTGGGATCCCAGAGTAAATCACGTGCAGCTCAGCACTAGGACTGGAAGTCAGGGCCGGGCAAGAAACCTGGGACGGTGGGAAGGACGGTGACGTCACAACGGTAGGGCATACTTGGGGATCCGAGGAGCTTCCGAAATCCTAGGGAGCGAGGGAGCTTCCTCTTCATTATGAGCAAGAGGGAGCTTCCTCTTCATTATGAGCAACAGGCAGCCCGGAGCGCAGGCGTGTCAACTTTGCCCTCCTCCCTCCCACAGCTGCCTTAGAACGGAATCTTATCGGCCAGCAGGGGGCGGCTCTACCGCACCCTCGCCCCTTCGGGAAGCCGTTAATGCACCAGGGGTCGGGGGCGTGGGGAGGCGAAGGACAATCGCCCCTTTAAAGCGCGATTTGATTCGCGTAGACTCCAGGCGCGTAAAGAGCGGACGCGGACCCTGACCGAGACTTCCCATCTCTTACTCTGCTGCTTTACCTGTTTGTGTGTGTGTGTGTGTGTGTGTGTGTGTGTGTGTGTGTGCGCGCGCGCGCGTGTGGGCATCAGCCACGAGCGCCTGGAAAGAAGCCGGGTGAGTTTAGCCGGCCAGCAACCCGCGGGGCAAGGAGACCGCCATTTGCCACCCCGCAATCGCGGGATACCCTGGGAAGCGCCGGTAGCCCCCCGCAGCCCTGTGTGGGTGACACACGCGCCCTAGCGGCCGCAGCGCGTTCTAGTGGCTTGGCGGGGTTTCTGCGCAGGCGCTGTAACCCATAGCAACCAGGGGAGGTCGCCTCAGGCGGAGTTGGAGCTACCGGAGCGTCAGGGTGAAGAGTCGTTTGGAGAGCTTTTTTTTTTTTTTTCTTCCTGTACGCGAGCTTCTCACTGTTGTGGCCTCTCCCGTTGCGGAGCACAGGCTCCGGACGCGCAGGCTCCGGACGCGCAGGCTCAGCGGCCACGGCTCACGGGCCCAGCCGCTCCGCGGCATGTGGGATCCTCCCAGACCCGGGCACGAACCCGTGTCCCCTGCATAGGCAGGTGGACTCTCAACCACTGCGCCAACAGGGAAGCCCCGTTTGGAGAGCTTTGATCCAGGATCGTTGGACAGATTGGGAAACTGAGGCCTGGGGTGAAGAACAGGCCCTAGGAACCGTTGGGGCTGTCTCCGGTGCCCGAGTGCTCGGAGTTTTGTGCCTGGCTGCATTCAAAAAGCGGGAAATTGAGGCTGAGGGAGGGGGCGGGTTCGTCTTGAGTGGTGGTTCCTGCCCCCCCCGGGTTAAAAAAAAATAAACATGGGGGCTTCCCTGGTGGTGCAGTGGTTGAGAGTCCGCCTGCCGATGCGGGGGACGCGGGTTCGTGCCCTGGTCCGGGAGGGTCCCACGTGCCGCGGAGCGGCTGGGCCTGTGAGCCGTGGCCGCTGAGCCTGCGCGTCCGGAGCCTGTGCTCCGCAACGGGAGAGGCCACAACAGTGAGAGGCCCGCGTACCGCAAAAAAAAATAAATAAATAAAATAAAATAAACGTGCTGCCCTCTCTGTACTAGAAAGGAGAAATGAGAGCAATGAAAGTAATTTATAATAAACGAATATGCCCTTCACTATGTAAAAGCTCAGACTGGATGACACCCGGTCACGACTGTACCTAACTTAAAATGAGAAAGTTTGGATTTAATAAATAGTATTCAACTAAATTTTGCCAAAGTTTACATTCGGCATCTATTTTCTTGTTTGTTTGGCTGCATGGAGTATTAGTTCCCCGACTAGGGATGGAACCTTCCTCCCCTGCGTTGGAAGGCAGATTCTTTACCACTGGACCACCAGGGAAGTCCCTGTATGTGGCATCTTGAGTCGAAGGTTAAAGGTATTTGTATACAGGCGTGCCATCACTGTGACAGCTACAAACGCAGACACACATGGGTGCGTTCTGGTGACTCACCTGTGCTCAGAAGGATTGACAGTGATTTTCCACAGTGGTGAACAAAACAAAGAATAACTTCCTCGGTTAAGCTGGTGTACACATTTCTGGATAATATATTGTACGTTAAAACCAGGGAAAGTTTCATTGTATATAAAACAGGTTATAAACAGGTTTTTTGCCTCCATGAAGGTTTGGCAGGGTATTGGAAAGTTGTGCAGGACAGCTTTGTTGGGGTGAGCTATTCTGTGCATTACAGGAGGTCCGGGTCTCTACTCCCTGGTTCCTAATTGCTAGTAGTGTCCCCTCAGTCGTGTGACACCCAAAAATGCCCCCACAAATTTCCAATCTGTTCCTTGGAAAACCACTGATTTATTCAGTCGAATAACAATTTTTGCCGGCATCCATGTGCTGGGTGCTGTTTTAGTGGGGAGGCATAGGGTGGTGAACAGGACACAGTCCCCACCCTTCCGAGTTGGGGCCCAGTATGAGGAAATACCCAGATAGTAATCATACAATATGATACAATAACTTGACAGTAGGGACGGTACAAGTCAGTTTGAGAACACATGAAGACCCGGCCAACTAGCAGGGAGTCCCATGGTCTGAAAAAGCCAACCAGAGAAGAAACATTTGAGCTGAGCCTTGAAAGAGCACCATGCAGAGAAGGGTGGTGTGCCAAGCAGAGGGATCAGCATGACTGAACAGATCCAGTGTTGCTAGCACGCAGTGGATCCTCAAATGTTGTGAATGAGTAGATGGATGACTGAATGAGACACGCATATTTGCTGGCAGGGAGCCATTCCCCACTATATCATGAACCGCTAAACCTGCCTCTTGTTTCCACCCAGAGCCCAAACCTTAGTTGAGACCCAGAGTGGGTGGCAATGGTGAAAGGGTCCCAGACACAGAGGAAGGGTTGTGTGGTCTTAGCCTGGGAGTGATTTCCAAGGAGGAGGTCTCTGATTCTGCTCTCCCAGAGGGCAGCTGCTAAAAACATAACCGGCTCTGCTGCTTCAGTGTTCGAAAAAGCAGGGCAGGGGTGCCTCTTATTTTCACACCTGTCGTTCATGTGTGGTCCTGGTAGCAGGGCATGTTTTTGGCAGATGGTACCTCCTGAGGACTGTCCCGAGATAAAAGTTTCCCATAGTGTGTGCACAGTGGAGAAGACCACAGACAAAGTGGTCTCTTCCCCCAGCTGATTTAAAGGAGGTCAGGGCCAGTCTCTCTCACCCCCTAGGACAATCCCTGTCCTCTTGAGATGATCATTCCTGCCCCCAAAGGCTAAGGCAAAGATTTGCAGCTGCCTGCCTGCAGGAGCCAAGCAGGCAGCGTAAGTCAGCTGGATGGGCACTTCGGGAAGCAAGGAGGTGCGTGCAGCCCCATGTTATGGCAGGCTGCGACTTGGGCCTGGCTGACTGTTGCCGTGTATGATTCCTGCTCTTGCATTGCCAAATAGTGTGATTTTTCTTTTCTGTACAAGTTAGAAGTGAAGAATTTTATATTTCCAGATTTTAAAATGTTGGCACTAATTCAAATGAAAACAAAAAAACAAGCCTGTGAGAGGCAAACAAAACCTGTTTGGGACCTCTCATCCTTGTTTCCATCCTAGGAAGGTGCATGACCATAGGACATCAGAGCTTCACTTTACAAGGAGAAAAGTGGAAGCCCGGACAGAATGCATTGCTTCTGGAAATATTATTGCGTTGGTGTCCGTGCTAGGGGCTAGGAGTTCCCTAGCAAATTAGAAGGTCCAGTTCCTGCCCTTCTGGAACTCCCAATAGGTAGACAAAGAGGCAACTACAGGAGTAGTGAATGATCAACAGAGTAAGCACATGAGTTGGGTGAGGAAGGGGGTTTGGGGGCGGGGGGAGCCCAAATCAAGGCAAGCTTCCTAAACGAAGAGCCCTCTGGTCTGGGACTTGAAAATAATTGGGAGTTAGCTAGGTAGGGAGTGGAGGGGGTAGAAAGGTATTCCAAATAGTGGGAATAATAATACATGCAAAGGCCTGGGGACATGAGAAAATTCAATTAATTCAAGGATCTGAAAGCGCTCATTATGGCTGTAGCTGAGGGTGGGGGTTGGGAGAAGGACGTGTGGAAAGCAAGCAGGCAGGCAGGCAGGCAGGCAGGCAGGCAGGCAGGCAGGCAGGCAGGCAAGCAGGCGAGCAAGCGAGCAAGCGAGCAAGCGAGCAAGCGAGCAAGCAAGCAAGCAGGAGAGGGCTTCCCTGGTGGCGCGGTGGTTGAGAATCTGCCTGCTAATGCAGGGAGCACAGGTTCGAGCCCTGGGTTGGGAGCGTCCCACATACCGTGGAGCAACCGGGCCCCTGAGCCACAACTACTGAGCCTGCGCGTCTGGAGCCTGTGTTCCGCAACAAGAGAGGCCGCGACAGTGAGAGGCCCGCGCACCGCGATGAAGAGTGGCCCCCACTCGCCACAACTAGAGAAAGCCCTCGCACAGAAACGAAGACCCAACACAGCAAAAATAAATTAATTAATTAAATTCCTACCCCCAACATCTTCTTTAAAACAAAAGAAAGAAAGCAGGAGAATTAGGCAGGGGGGTGCAAGCAAATGTCTATAGGGTCTCAGTGCCAGTGAGTAAAGCGGTCTTGATGTAAGAGACAGCAGAGGCTGGTGGGGTCTGGGGCACCCGGGAGTCAGCTGCGACTCAGCTGTAGCCACTCAGCAGCGGTCCAGGGTTGCCAGAGTGTCCTGTTTTTCAGGAGCAATGTGAAGTTAGATTATTAAAAGCAGCATCTTGGACTTCCCTGGTGGAGCAGTGGTTGGGAATCTGCCTGCCAATGCAGGGGACATGGGTTTGAGCCCTGGTCCAGGAAGATCCCACAGGCCTCGGAGCAACTAAGCCCATGCACCACAACTACTGAGCCTGCGCTCTAGAGCCCCTGAGCCACAACTACGGAGCCTGCGTGCCTAGAGCCCGTGCTCTGCAACAAGAGAAGCCACCGCAATGAGAAGCCTGCGCACCACAATGAAAAGTAGGCCCCACTCGCCGCAACTAGAGAAAGCCCGCATGCAGCAATGAAGACCCAACACGGCCAAAAATAAAATAAATTAATTAATTATTTTAAAAAAGCATCTTGAGCTCTGCTTTTAGGGGGCTAGTTTGAATGTATAAAGCACTTGGCAACAGATTTTTTTTTTAACATTTTTATTGGAGTATAATTGCTTTACAATGTTTGCATCTGGCCTTTGAGCCACCAGTTCCAATCTTTGGAGGAATCGTAAAGGGAATGTGGGCTCGATTCTGAGAGTGTGGAGCCACTGGGGGTTTTTAGCAGGGCGTGACATTCCAGGCTCATGCAGAAAGGGCCTGTTGGCTGGAGAACAACAATAGAGGAGCTAGGACTCATTGGAGATGTTGTGGTACCTGCAGAAGGGCGGGGAGATGGTGGAGGTCTGCAGACAGCATGGGGATTAGGGATGGGATGTGTGAGAGATGGGATTTGATGGCAGATTAGGAGGGATGGGGGAGGTCGTTGGGGAGTGTTAAGGTTGATACAAGGGTCAAGGCAGCAGGTACAGAGGAAGGACGAGGAACAGTGATGGATGAAGATGACCTCAGCTCCTGTGGGTCACTCAGGGGAGATGCCCAGAGGATCTGGACCTGGTCCAGAGAACGTGGGCCCAGTGGGGTGAATAGGACACCCCTTGACCCTAAGGAACTGCAGTTCAGGTGGGAAGACAGACAGTACGAGTGAAGAGTCCAGGGCCGGAGGCTGGCCCAGAGTCTCTTCTGACGGCAGGGCCCTTGGGAGCAGCAGTGACCTCATTGTCTGAGGAGCCAGGGTGGGAGGGCGGGGCAGATACATCCAGCTAGTGACGACTGGCCCAACAAAGGCCCGGAGATGTGACAGAGACAATGTGTTAGTGGGTAAACGGAAAAGAATCCAGAAAGACAAACTGCTCCTTCCTCACATTTCAACTAGGAAGGAGATAAAGCATTTCTGTGAGGTAATTTCTTTGAATTTCTTTTGGTACCTTGCTCCGAGGTCCCTGGTTCTCCTCTGGACAGGTAGAAGGCGTTCAGTAAATGTTTATTGTGCGTCCCCCCCATTCCCTTCTCCCTCTGGAGCAATACTCTGCTAAGTGTATAAATTCTGCTACAGTTTGTGTGCATGTTTTTAAGAGTTGCCTTTGGTCTTACCTCATTATGGTCAAGATCAAGAGTCACCAGTGAGACCAGAAATGGCTGGTATGCAGTAGGAGCTCAAATGCCCAGAGATGGAGAGGCGTGTGGGGGGCTGGGGAGGACTTCTAAAGTGCCTGCTGCCTTTCTGTTGTAATATTAAGTCCCCGCCCACTTGACACTGGACTGAACCCTGCGTAGTTGTGGGGTGATGCTGTGCAAACCCCTAACGGTGGCCGGGTATACAGCAGGTACTCACTACCCACCAGCTGGACTGGATTTAGGTCTTGAGTGATCAGACCTCATAAGCCTGTCTGACCTTTGAAACAGGACAGGGAAGGACGTGGCCCCCAATCCTGCTTTGCCTGGTCAGCATGTGCTAGATGACCCCGGGTCTCAGGTTCTAAAGCCCAGAGTCAGCTGAACATGGTGGGATGGGATTTTTGCAGGGTTGAGAGCACGGGCTTGGGAACCAAACAGACTTTGGGTCAAATCCCAGCTCCCCCATCTCTAAAATGGGGATAATAATACCTTTGTGACATCTTTCTCGTCCTGAGAGTGCTGAGTGGCACACGTCCATGCCTCCTCTCAGCCCTCAGCCCTCCTCACCCTCTGTGCCCTGCAGGGTGTTCCAAAGAGCAGCCATGTCCACCCTGTACCCATCTCTGGAGGACCTGAAGGTGGACCAAGCCATGCAGGTAAACTGCCAGGCTATCAGCCTGGGGTCCCCTGACGGGGCCTTCTGAGCTAAGGGAGGCTTGTCTTGGGTCAAGTGTTGGGGACCCCTGGGAGTTCCTGACTGGCCCCAGGGCATGCAGGTCCCCACTGCAGGGCCTGCTGGGCAGAGCAGGTGTCCAGAGGCCAAGGCAATGGAATTACAGCAGGTAGAGAAGACCAAGCAGCTGCAGACCGGCCAGTCTGGTGCCTGCTCTATCCCAGTGCTTCCTCCATCCGGGTTCGTGTAGAACCCATGCTCTAGGACAAGCTTCCAGAGTAAACCCCATGGCCATGGCGTTTGGCCTACTCAGCCCCCAGAAGTCCTTTTCTCCTTCCATCCCACATGAGGTCCTAGTGGGTTTTGAGAATTGGGGGCTTTTTGACTGAAAATTTGCCTTGGCTGCCTCAGGTAGTAAACGAGTTGTGACCTTTGGTGGGTCGCAGGCCCCTGGGAGAACCTCCCTCCAGAAGCGTGGACATCTGCAGAGGCCATATTTACTCCAAGGGTCATGGACACCCCCTCAGGCCGCCAGCATACCTAATGCCCTGACCCCCAGCCTCAGGGAGCCCGCGACCTTGGCCACAGCTGACTGGCACTCCCCATCCATCCCCAGGCCGAGGCCAGAGCTGTACCCAGGATGCCTGCCCCGCCAGGGCAGGGAACAGACTCCCAGCCGTCAGGTGAGTGAGTGGGCTGGGGTTCTCCTGGCTGAGAGTGACCTCTGCTGGACATTTCCAAGAGCCTGCCTCCTTCCTGCCGCTGAGCTATGGGCACTATGCAGGTTGACCCTCCCTAGAACCCTTTGAGGGGGACACTGAGAAAGCTGCAGCTTTGTGAGGGCACTGACTGCCCTGACTTGGGGCCACCAAGGAAGGCTGCATGTGGAGACCAGGATGTGTGTGGTGGCCCTGGAGCTGCTTGTGGCCCTCTTGATTCAGGCCCTGTGGCAGCAAACTTGAACTCAGGCCCAGCTCCTCTCCTCACCATGCAGTTCCCCAGAGCGGCCCTCGGGTCTGGCCGGTGCCAAATAAAGTCAGTTAAATTGAACACCAAAGTGATACATGAGGTACTCAGTGTCCCAGGCTGCTCCTGGAGAAAGCAGACCGTCTGAGGGGAGGACCCACAGTGCCAGCGAGCGTTCCTGGGAGTGCAGAGCCAACTCAGGGGTATACTGCATTCTTGGGAGTAAACAGCATCCCCAGGCCCTGTTTCTTAATAAAAATGAGTGACCACCTGGGAGCCAGGCAGGTGTGGCTAATCTCAGGCCCGGAGTAACACCTTTCTTCTTCCTTCCTTCCCTTCCCATCAGTTTTGTACCCAAACCTGGCGGAATTGGAAGGTTATATGGATCTTTCGTTCTCCAGCCACGAAGTCCAGCAGAACCTGCCTCAGATTCCAGAAGGTGCCAGTGTAGGTATTTGTCTCTTGCCTGATGTGGGCCCTCCTTTTTGGTCTTACCATTTAAACAGACTTGAATCTCCTCTTTCCCCAGTGTTGCTGCGCCTCTGTTTTTTGATGGCACTTTGGATTTTCAGCCTTCATTAAAAGTGCTGTGGGGTTTTGTGGTTTCCCGCGGGCCTTGGGGCTGAAGGGCCACTGCCTGCCCTTTGACCTCTGACCTGCTGGCCTGAGCCTGCTGGAAGAGAAGGGAGGACATTAAACCCGGCCTGAGCCTGGGTGCTTCTACTGAAGGGCTGCCTGTGACTTGACAGCAGCTGCGTGGTTAGGCAGAGCCCAGTGAGGAGAGGCTTGTCATCCAGCCCCACTCCCCAAATTAAACAATAATGCTTGGTTCCTGTTCCGCATGGCTTCAGGGAGCAAAGGAAATCATAACATTGAAATATTCACTCCTGAAAATGTATTCATCTATAGAATCAGTCCCAAACCCTCTCCCAATCAGCTCCAGCCTCCCTGCGGGCCATCTGTCAGCTGTCCTTGTATGCCAGCCCCTCCCTGGTCCAGTGCAAATCGATTGCATAGTGCAAACGCAAATCTTACTAAGGCTGCAGGATTTCATGAAATTGATGGAAATGAGGATGAGAACTGCCACACTGACGAATGAGGATTTCATAGGAAAAATCAGAAAGGATGAGGACATGTGGGACCCTGAGAAAAGCTGGTGACACCCTGGGGTGTTTCTCCAAAATGACCCTCTTGACAGTCATGTAGGGAAGTACACACATGAAGCAAAGTAGGTCATGTTGCAGATAGTCCAATTTTAATCCATCGATTTAATCCCTCTTTGGTCCAATAATTAGGGCTTCCCTGGTGGCGCAGTGGTTGCGAGTCCGCCTGCTGATGCAGGGGACACGGGTTCGTGCCCCAGTCCGGGAAGATCCCACATGCCACGGAGTGGCTGGGCCCATGAGCCATGGCCGCTGAGCCTGCGCGTCCGGAGCCTGTGCTCCGCAACGGGAGAGGCCACAACAGTGAGAGGCCCGCGCACCGCAAAAAAAAAAAAAAGACAGATAATGCATTTTTATAATTAAAATTTTTTAGTTATTTTATTTCATTTTAACTTTTTATTTTTAAGTAATCATAAATTCATAGGAAGTTGCGAAGATAGAGAAGTCCTTTGTACTCTTCACTCAGTTTTCCCAGTGGTTCCGTTTTATGTAACTACACTATAACGTCAAAACCAGGCATTTTACATTGGTACGATGTGTGTCTGTGGTTCAATGTCATTTTATCACCTGCAACCACCAGCACAATCAAGATAGAGAACTATGTCATCACCACAAAGGTATCTCTAGTGTTGCCCCTTCATAATCGTTCCCAGCCTCCCCCTCACCATCCGCAGCCCCTTGGCAACCACTAGCGTGTTTTTATCCCTATAATTTTGCCATTTCAGAAGGTTATGTAAGTGGAATCACACAGTGTGTGACTTTTTCAGATGGACTCTTTCCACTCAGCATCATGCCCTGGAGATCCTTCGAGGCTGTTGCCTGTATCAACAGTTCATTCCTTTTTATCGCTGGGTTGTGTTCCATGGTGTGTCTGTACCCCCAGTTTGTTTAACCTCTTGAGGGACATTTTAGTTGTTTCCGGTTTTTGTCTATCGTAAACTAAGCTATTATGGATGTTTGTGTACAGATTTTTGTACGGATAAAGTTTTTGTTTCTCTGGGATAAACACCCAGGAGTGCAATTCCTAGGTAGTGTTATAAATGTATGGCTAATTCTTTTTTTTTTTTTTTTTGCTGTACGCGGGCTTCTCACTGTTGTGGCCTCTCCCGTTGCGGAGCACAGGTTCCGGATGCGCAGGCTCAGCGGCCATGGCTCACGGTCCCAGCCGCTCCGCGGCATGTGGGATCTTCCCGGATCGGGGCACGAACCCGTGTTCCCTGCATCGGCAGGCGGACTCTCAACCACTGCGCCATCAGGGAAGCCCGGCTAATTCTTTAAAAAAGAAACTGCCAAACTATTTCCAGAATGGCTGTACTATTTTATTTTCCTGCCAGCAATGCATGAGTGTTTTCAGTTTCTTCACATCCTTGCCAGCATTTGGTATTATCACTATTTAAAATTTTAATCATTATGGTAGGTGTGTAGCATTGACTTATCATTGTCTTAATTTGCATTTCCCTAACGCTAGTGATGCTGAACATCTTTTCATGTGCTCATTTACCAGCTGTATATTCTTTTCGGTAAAATGTCTCTTCATATCTTTTGCTCATTTTCTAAATGGACTGTTTTTTTAAGTCAACTTTTGAGACTTTATTCTAGAGTCCTTTGTCAGATATTTGATTTTTAAATATTTTCTCCCACTGTGTAGCTTCTCCTTTCATCGTATTAAAAGGGTTTCTTGCAGAGCAAAAAGTCTTTAATTTTGATGAGGTCCAATTTATTGATTTTTTTCTTTTGTGGATTATGCTTTAGTGTCCTAAGAAATTTCACTGAGCCCTAGATCCTAAAGATTTTCCCTTTTACTTCTAAAACTGCTATAGTTTTATGTTTAAATTTATGATTGAATTCGAGTTAATTTTTGTATAACCTGTGAAGTCAGTGCTCATATTTTGCCCACGGATGTTCAATTGCTCCCTCACCTTTTGTTGAAAAGACTCTTCTTTCTCCAATGAACTGCTCTTGCACCTCTGTTAAGAAGCAGTTGCCCCTCCTTGCGTGAGGCTATTTCTGGATTCTCTCTTCTGCTCCATGATCCATGTGTCTGTCGCTCCCCAACACCACACTGTCTTAACTACTGTAGCTATATAATAAATCTGGAAATTTGGTAGAGTGATTTCTTCTCTTTTATTCTTTTGATCAGAATAGTTTTAGCTATCCTAGTTCCTTTGTCTTTTCATATAAAGTTTAGGCTAACCTTGCATGTATCTATGAAACATCTTGTAGAGATTGTGATAAGAATTGCATTAAATCTGTACATCAATCTGGGGACAGTTGACAGCTTTACTATGTTTTCCCAATCCATGAATACAGAATATCTCTCTATTTATTTAGATCTTCTTTGATATCTTTTATCAGTGTTTTTTCATTTCCAGCATACAATTCCTGCATCTGTTTTGCTAGATTTACACCTAAGTATTTCTTTTTTCTGAGTGATTGTAAGTGGTATTATATTTTTAATTTTAGCTTCCACATGTTGATTGTTAGTATTTAGAAGTACAATTGATTTTTTGGGTATGCGCTGGTCTTGTATCCTGTGACCTTATTGAACTCACTTATGAGTTCCAGGAGTTTACTTGTGGATTCCTTGGAATTTTCTATTGAAGTATCCTCTGCAAATAGAGACCATTTTCTGTCTTCTTTTCCCATCTATATGCCTTTTATTTCCTTTTCTTGCCTTATTGCTCTGGCTAGTTCTACCATTATTGTATTTAATAGTAGTGGTGAGACTGGACATCCTGTCCTTGTTCCAGATCTTAGGGGGGGAAAGCACTCACTCATTTTGGTACTTCGACCTTAATTTTTTTCAAGGCAGAGATCAAATTGAGCCCATTTCCCCCCATCGTTCACTATTTTCTGTGGAATTTTTATTTTTAAGTGGATTTTAAAGGGCTCTTCTCCTGACACCAGTTTGCCTTGGAAAACGAGGGCCCCTTTCCCATTTACCTGTCCTCTCTTCTCTCCCTACTTTCCCGGCTGTTTTTCAGGGGTGTGGACTTTGACGCCCCCTAGTGGCCTCATTGAGCCATGTTCCCTCTCCCCCGCATGCAGGAAAGTGTGTGGGCTGGGGTGGACTGCGGCCCAGGGTCCACCCCATTCTCCTTACCCCATCCCTGCTCCCACCCCGGGGACTTTTGTGGCACGAGGCCCCAGGCGCTGGCTGACCGCCTGCTCTTCTGATGTTTGCAGGCAGCGGTCTCGGACCCCTCACCGGACCAGGTGGTGGCGCCGGTGTCCGGGAACAGCTTGGGCGTGCTGCCTGGAGAGGTCAAGCCCGGGGTGCGCGAGATCCACCTGTGCAAGGACGAGCGCGGCAAGACGGGGCTGCGGCTGCGGGCCATCGACAAGGTGGGGCTGGGGGTCGTGGGGGGGAGAGGAAGGGCCCCGCGGAGGGCGGAGGGAGAGCCCGCGTGCTGGACAGCGCCTGCCCGCAGCCCGAGCTGCCCGCCCTCCTCCGCGCGCCTCCGGGGTTCTGGCCGCCTCGTCCACCAGCGAGAGAGGAGGCAGAGCGGGGAGCCCCATCCACAGTAAGGCAGGGGTTGCGCGGGCTGGGAGCCGAGGCCCACCTGACCCCTAGGCCAGGCTCTTCCTCTCAAGCCCCTCCTACAAGGCCTTCGGGCTGGCTCTGGGTTGCGCCAGGGATCCTCTACCTGCCTCTCCGTGGCTCCTTGCCTCCTTGACCCCCAGTCAAAGGGATCTGGCTTCTGGGCGGCTGTCTGCAGACAGTGGAAGCTGGGGACCCTGGAAGCCAGTGTGAGAGGCCTTGTAGTCCAGTGGTTGGGGGTGCAGCCTCCAGTTGGGGTTGAATTCCTGACTCCGTTGCTTCCTAGCTGTGTGGCCTGGAGTGTTTCCTCGCCAGGAAAATGGGGTTGCCTGTGTCTGCTGCGCAGAGCTGCAGTCCCAGTGCCCTGCAGGCTCCGTCAGGGAGGATCGGGAGGAAAGCAGCAGCTTGGAGGAGGGAGCTGGGCTCATGGTGGGCCGGGAGAGCTGACTGTGGGGACCGCCTCCCCCAGGGGCTCTTTGTGCAGCTCGTCCAGGCCAACACCCCCGCGTCCCTGGTGGGGCTGCGCTTTGGGGACCAGATCCTGCAGATTGACGGGTGCAAGTGTGTCGGGTGGAGCACAGACAAAGCCCACCGGGTGGTGAAGAAGACGTCAGCTGAGAAGATCGTCATGGTTGTTCGGGACAGGTGAGTAGCTGGGTCCCAGGAGCCTCTCTGTCCACCCCCAGCCACGCCCCAGGCCCAGCTCACTGTCCGTCCCTACCAGGCCATTCCAGCGGACCGTCACCATGCACAAGGACAGCACAGGCCACGTCGGCTTCGTCATCAAGAAGGGGAAGATCATCTCTTTGGTCAAAGGGAGTTCTGCGGCCCGCAACGGGCTCCTCATCAACCACTACGTGTGCGAGGTGAACGGGCAGAACGTCATTGGGCTGAAGGTAAGCTAGGCAGAGCAGCGGCTCTGTCCCGGGACATCAGGGGCTGGGACACGCCAGGTGGTGGGCAGGTTCGTGTCTGCGGGTGGGCTGCTGCCCCCACCCCAGCCTCAGTTCCTCATCCTAAGGCTGCTACAGGGATTCAATGTGACAAGGTACACAGAGCTTCGAGCACAGTGCATGCACAAAGTAAGTGCTCAGTAAATATAAGCTATTGTTACTTACACATGGAGGCCAGAGGTGTGACAGGGAGCCAGGGGGTGGGGGTGGGGGTGGGGTTGATGACCTGTGTAAGGACGTAGGTGCCCAGGTGACTCCTGGCTGCATGGACACCTCCCTACTCTGTGTGGCACTTCTGTTTGTATCCTGGATCTTGTTCAGTAATAGGAATATTTTAGAAAATTGCTCTTCAGAAGTCCATTTCTTACCTCTTTTTTTTGCCCTCCCAAGGGGGTTTGCGTGGCGAGTTTTATCTTTAAATACAGAAGGAGCAAGTGGTCTAGGCCCAGTGCTGTGACCTGGACTCGGGGGTGGGTGCCTTTGGGGAATGGACCCTGGAGGAGGATGAGTCACGCCGCTTCTGGTCCCTGGATAAGCGAGAGTGGTTTATCCCGACTTGATGCCACCAGGACCGAGAGTGCTTCTTAATCCCAGCTGTGATTTAGAGTGAGGGTCCCTTTCCTCCTGCAGCCAGGGCTTCGGGGCTCACAGGTAGGGCTCCCCGGGTAGAGGTGGCCTGGGCGGTGGCAGCTCACTCCACAGGTGTGGAGTCTTTTAAGCCAGTTCTCCCCCCCTTCAACAGGGCCATCACCATCACCATTCCTGCCGCGCATCTTCCTCCCTGTGCTTGACAGTCTCCCCACCTTCCTTGGAGGCTTGTTCTGCTGGCTCGTGAGCGTTGTGATCAGCAAGTTCTTCCTAATGTCTGTCTGACATCCCTCCTGCTGCATCTCTCCCCTTCCTTGGGGATCAGGCATGACAATCCAAAGGGAATCCATTGTAGCTAAAAAGCTGAGTACAGTAATACCAATTCTGAGTGGCTGGCTCTACTGGGTGTTAGTGAACCCACTCCTTTCAAAGCATGACAGCTCTTTGATCTTAACTGTTCTGGAGAGCAGTCATTCTAAAATGTGCTGCAGATTCTCTCGTCCTCACTGAAGGTTCAAGGCTTCACTATGAACTTATCAGTTATCCTACCAAACAACGGCGTAAGGCTCTAAGGACTGGGCCTGTTCCTTTGCTGAATGGCCCCAGATAGCTATGCTTCTTGCGATCATTTATCTTCTCAAAGGTCTGTCTGTTTCTACTCTGTGGCCATCACTAGTCCCACCTAGCACATCTTCTCCCATTTATCCTGGAACAGCTAAGAAAACACATACCTGGGTTTGGGTTAGACACCTGTGTAAAGTAAAGGTCATGGTGTCTGAGTAAGGGCCAGAGGCTCTTCTAATGGCCGTAATGTTTGTCTTTGGACTGTTTGGCACACTTTGTGTAGATGCCTTTTGTTTCTTGTTCTCCCCATGATCTGAATGGCTTCTGCGGGCCTCTCTTTTCACTAGTCGACAAGATGTAAGAGGAAGATGTACCACATGGGCTTGGCTCAGGCTGACAGGAGCCCAGTGAAGGGGGCGGGGGGAGCCCCTGCTGTCCCACCACTGCACGGTTATTCTCTTTGTGCTTTGGGTCCAGAACCCGAGTGTGACAGGGTCCTGGGAAACGGCATACATGTGTGCTTGGTGAGATTGCCGGGGCTCTTTGGGGGAAGTCACGTTTGTGAGGCCCTGTTAGGTGTCAGGCCCACACAGCCCCTCGAGCTGGCGAGGGAGGGGCACGCTCATTTTACTGACAGGGCCTCAGGTGGGAGGCCCACGCTTTTGCTCACCTGAGGGGCAGCCCTGTCCCTGACGTCAGAATGTCAGTGGCATCCTTCAGCGGGGGCCGTGCTGACCTCTCCACAGAGGTGCCTTCAGAGTTGCCCCTGGCCCCCCGGGGTGACCCGCTCACTCACCCCTTCTCCAGGACAAAGAATTCACGGAGATTCTGGCCACAGCCGGGAACGTCATCAACCTGGCCATCATCCCCACTGTGATCTATGCGCACATGGTCAGAAAGTAAGGCTGGTCCCCTCCTGCCTCCCCGCTCAGCTCCCCACCTCCCGTCCACCCCAGCTTCCTCAAGGCTCCTGCAGAGCCCAGACCAGCCTGCCCTCTGCTCTCCTGCCCTCGCCTCCCTTCACGCTAGCCAGTGGCTTCTGGTGATTTGAAAGTCTTAGACTCGGAAGTGAGGGCCCACAAGGCATGCACAGACCTTGCGGGGATGGGGAGAAGGTGCTGCCAGTGTTGGCGACTGTCCTTGTTGCTGAACCTAGGTTGTCCCCAGCCCTGCTCCACCACACCATGGACCACTCCATCCCTGACATCTGAAGCCACAGGAGAGCAGCTCAGCCCTCTCACCCTCCAGCTGGAAAGGCAGAGTCCTCAGGGGACAGGCTGCGGAGGCCTCTGCCTGGGGGCGGGGCTGTCTCGAGGTGGGCGTGTTCTGGGTGGGGCAACATTGGATCACATGGGCGTGTCATTTATACACACTGGCCTCCTTGGAGCCTCAGCCTCTTAACTGGGCTAAGGCAGGGGCAGGGCCCACAGGCAGTGATTCTCTGAGCCGATTTAAATGCTGGGCACGTATACAGGCCGACTAAACACTTCCTAAAGTTGCAGCTGGGTCCCTTTCAAACTTTTGCCTCTACCAGTAAAACATTTCCACGGTTTGAGAGAACAAATACATTTTTATGGGAGAATTGTTTCTTTTTCCTTTACTTGTTCTTTGTCACAAACTGTATTTGGTTATAACCCGTCACTGTCTTTTGAATAAAGATTTGATTTTACATAAAATCCCTTCGTCAAAAGTAACTGAAATTCCAGAATCTTCTGTCTCATGACATGCCAGAGCTGGTTTTCTTTTAAGCAGTGGTGAGACCGAGGCCTTTGCTATGTATTGCCTCTGAGAGCAGTGACTGGGCTTTGCCACCGCCACATGCCGCCGGTCTGGGGCATGGATGACTAGAGGGGGACGGTGTGGGGCCCTGGAAGGGGGCCCTGGCTTTCGCGCACCCCCTGCTCAGTGACTGCAGCTGGCTTCCGCATCTGCAGAACGGGCGTGAGGACCACTTCAAGGGTGCTGGAGAGGATGAAACACGTGCACTTACAGGGCCTCGCGGGTCTGACGGGGGGCGTGGGGTGCGCCAAGTGACCCCCTGGAGGGGAGTCAGAAGCACGGCAGAGCTGAGCCAGCACGCAGCTCTCTGGTTCACTCAACCTCAGGAAAGATCTGTCTGCTCAGCTTTTCCCAGGATGCATGTCATGACTTCCATGCAGGTGGGGACAAGTGTGAGCCCGCTTCATCCCCCTCACCCCCACCCCCAAAAGACACAATATAAAGAAAACAGGCCAAGGATCTTGTTGTGTTTTCATGCTTTACTTCAGAGCTGTCTGCTGTAGGTACAACTCTGTCTGATCAAGAGGACAAAGAAGACAAAAGTGAAGACCCCTCCCCACCTCCCCCCTTCCTGTATCCCCTGAATTCTCTGTCAAGGGCATGGCTGAATGTAGCAGTGCACTGTGACTTGTGTGCACTGATTCCTAGGTCAGAGGGGGTCATGATTTCCCTGGGCAGAGGCCCCTCTGTAGGCCTTTACCCCAGAACCTTGTCATCTGCCCCCACCCCACCCCCCAAGGTGCTGCCAGATACCCCTGTGCTAGTGGCGACTGGGAAAGGTATTCAGTGAAAAGCTAAGTTATCCCCTTGGGAGATATTTGGGATAAACTCCATTTGAGGCCAGCTCTCTGAGCAGAGTCCCGGCCCCAGACTGATTTCTGCTTTGAGCCTGGACGAGAGGAGCAGCAAAGCAGCTCTGGCCTGGACCCTATAGCTTAGGAGAAGCCACTTCTGGAGGTGGGACCCCAAGGGACCAGCAGTTCCAGAAGGTGGTTCCTGAGAACATGGTCCCTTAGGATCTAATCAGCTCTGGCCAGAGGCTGGGGACAGGGGAGACCCCAAAGATCTCTGCTGCAGAAGCGGAGGGCGGGAGGGAAAGGTCACAGCTCAGCAGGAGGTGGTATTAAGCAGGAAGGAAAAGGGGAGCCTTGGAGGATGAGCACTTAGCGGGAGGCCCCCGGGCCCTGGCCTTGCTTCCTGGTCTCACATCCTGTGCCCTGCAGTCAGGGCTTGGAGCCTGAGCCCGTGGGTCACTGCGCCTCCGCCTCCGCCCCCGGGAGCTGCCCAGGCAGCGCTGCCCCTTTTGCATAGATGCAGGATACCGAGCACATACACGCACACACACACAAGCCGGGGCCTGGCTGACACGGCCCCAGCGTCTGTCCCAGGCCTGGGCCAGAGAGCTGCCTCCTCCACCGACAAGAGGCAAAGCCCGTCAAGGTCCCACCAGACCCCCCAAAAGAGAGGCACCCCCAACACTGTGGGCTGGAGGCCCTCTGACCAGACAGGCAGGTCTTGAGCCACAGCAGGAGCAGAGGGCGGCGCCAGCTCCGCTCACCTTGTCCACAGTCCTCGGTCCACGCTCTTCACGAGTGGCTCCTCCAGCATCAGGGACAGAACGGACCATGGCCCCGGCCCTGACCACGTCCATCAAAACACAAGACACAGTAGGAAGGCCACAGACAGCAAGATGCAGACTGGAGCAGAGGGGCTACGCAGCTCGACTAGATTCCAGTGGTGAAAAATATATAGATTTTATGTTGTCAAATATAATAGTCATACATTTATTTTCTCGGCGAAGCTTCTGACTATTTCTAAGGAGACACCACGCAGCTCCGTGAGTACGCGGCACGGGAGGCGGGGTCCACAGCCAGTCCTGGCTTGGCTTTGGATTGGGTTTGTCCACTGCCCCTCCACGTCACGACCCCCAGGTCCTGTGGGGCAGCCCAGCCTGGCCCCCAGAGTTTGGGTTCGGTTCGACTGGGGTGGAGGGGTGCTCCACAAAGGATGGCAGGTCTGAGGCCCAGAGCGAGGAAGGGGAGCTTTGGAGGCACAAAGCGCGTGGCAGAGGGGCTCTCCCCATGATGGCTGGGCCGGCTGCCCACCCCCAGTGCATGCAGGCATCCCCCCTCAAGTAGGGGGCACAGAGAGGAAGGGCAGAGCCCATGTGCCAGGCAACAGCTGTCGGAGCAGCGGGGGTGGCCAAGCAACCTTGGCAGAACCAGAGTGGCCCCTAGGCCAGAGGGGTGAGTGAGACACAGGGTCCCACCAACACCCCTCCCCGCCCCGCAATGTAGGGCCTATAACTCTGAAGAGTGGGTGGGATGACGAGATAGGTATAAGCCCTGCAGAGGAAGAGGAAGGGGTTTACTCTGTAAAATAATAATGCAAATAACACGTCAGCAGCTTTGCAGAGGGACCTAGATGTGGTCCCGGGGAAGGAGGGGGGCCAGTGAACCTTCCCAGGCTGACTGGGCTTGGGCTGGGAGCCCCACTCCACCCCCTACCTGGGAAACATCCCAGGACACCCTGCTTAGGCCTGGACGGACATCATGGGCTTCAAAACCTCATCTTGCCATTCATCCTGCTGGAATTCCCCTCAGAGGCAGAAAGGTGTAAGATTTAGGAATCCTCATCCTAGAAAGCAAGCAGCCACCTCACAGGAGACCCTGGGATGCGTGAGAAGCAAGCCCCAAAGTGAACACAGTGCAAAGCAGAAGCTGGTCCTAAGGTCCCCGGAAAGACTAGGCCAAGCTCCAGGGCAGTCAAACCTGGAGCAGTCAGCTGGCGGCTGCTGAGTCCAGCCCTGCCTCCCAGGCTGCAGGGTTGGCCCCTTAGGCTGCCAGCCCCTGCCTCCTCCTTTCCTGCTGGCAGCATCTCCAGACAGAAGCTGGGCTCAGGCTAGTGTTCACACCCCGGCACTCGCCTGTCTGGCTCTCACAAAATTATCTGACACACTCAGAAGTGCCAGGAGGAAAACAGATGTGGGGAAGCTCTGGGATGAACAGACAGACACAGAACCCACACCGCCCTCTGCCCATCACCATCTTTCCTCCAGCCCATGGCCTTGACCGGGCTCCCAAATCCCAAAGCCGGGAGCAGCCTGAAGGGGATGGAGCTCAGCCCAGGCCAAGTGGTTCCAGACCCGCTCGGAGTCCCGGTCAGTTGCCTGTACTTTGGGTCACAGCTGCCTCCATCTGAGGAGGTAATACCGGCCCAGAAGCCTGGGCTGAGGGCAAGGGGTGGCTTGGGAGAGAAGGCTTGGGGTGGGCAGGGAACTGGACAGGACATGGGGGTGGGGGACGGGGAGGCTTGGCACACAAGTTAAGCCCGGCCTCCCCGGATCAGCACACCAGAGACTTCCTGAGCAGGGGCTGCCCTGTGTGAGAGGCCAGGTGGGCAGGGGGGCCAGGTTGGGGGGCTCGCCACCTTTCTCTGAAGTGTGTCCCATCCCTGTGCCTCCCTGCCGTTGGTCTCTCTTCCCTTCTCTCCTGTTGAAGTTTTGGGACACCTTCCCCCACCCCCCACTCCCAGCCCCTGACACTGTTACCATTCTGAAAACACCACCTCCAAACCCAAAACTAAATAAATAAGATGATGCCCCACGGGAAGGTGCGAGAGGGAGGACGGCACCCCTACAATCGGTAGTCAGGCCTCCGGAGCCCGGGCCGGGATGGGGCCTCCTCAGAGCTGCGAGCTGCCGCCTGCAGCAGTGCTGGCGCTTGGGCCCTGCTGGCTCAGCGAGCGACAGCTGATCCTGCGGATGGAGTGCAAGGCCACGGTGCAGCAGCCCCGCAGCAGGGAGCTGATGTTGTAAATGGGCTGGCCCTGGCGCCGCTGGGAGCGGCAGAGCCAGGCCACCGTGGGCACGGCTGGCACCACCACCGCCAGCAGATCCACGATGTAGTGGCGGCTCCAGTAGCTCTTGGGCTCCTCGGCTGTGGCCGCCTCCTCCTCCTCTTCCACGGGGCATGCCACGCTCACCGACGGGCTGGGGTTGGGGTTGGCACCAGGGTGGTGTGGGGTGGGACCCCGCGTGATGGGCTCCGGGGCCTCGAGCTCGTCACCCACCGTCACCACCACTGCAGAGTTGGGGTCTCTGGGCCCCAGGGGGTGGGGATCCAACTCCGGGCACCTGTCCCCTGACTTGGGGACTGTCCCGCAGACCTGGGCCTTGGTCACTTTCTCCAGGATGGTGTCCAGGTCCGGCTGGTACTGCACGAAGTCCGTCTGGATGGCGCGCTCCTGCATGCAGCTGGCCTGCACGCCGGCCTCCGTGCCGCACAGAAGCTTCTCGTAGGTGTTGCTGGCGGGGAAGCGGGGGCCCAGGCTGAAGGAGCCATGCAGCGAGGAGCCCTCCTCGGGGCCGCAGTCCACCCCCGAAGACAGCAGGCTGCTGGCCTCCAGCGCATCCGTCCGGCTCAGAGTGTCGTCGGTCGCCACGAAGCCACTGTCAGCCCCGTCCTCCACAGAGGCGCCTGGGTGGTCACCCGGCAGGCGGTCGCCGCAGACAGCCGGGTCGCTCAGCTTTGTGTAGGTGGAGCTACGGGTGAGGGAGCGGGCGGGGGACCCGCCGGCCGACTCGGCGGCGCCGTCCTCCTTGGCGAAGCCGTTCTGGGCCACCTCCATGCTGTGCAGCAGCGTCTCCAGCTTCTTGTTCTGGATGTTGATGTCCACAAAGTACTTCTGCAGCCCCTTGTCCTTGTCAATCAGGTTGTTCTTGACGGTGTCGATGACCTGCTTGAGCTGCTTGATCTCCTTGCGGGCCTCCTTCAGGGCCAGCTGGGCCTCCACGCGGTGGCACTCCTCCTCAATCCAGTCCTCCTGCATGCGCGACAGCTGCATCTTCAGGTCATCGATCTCCGTGTCCCTGTGAGCAGATGAGACACACATGCTCACCGCCTGGCCTATCACCGCCACCAAGGACAGACAAGGAGGGGGCTGTCCCCAAGGACACAGGGCCTGTGCTGCTGCCCCTCAGAGCTGAAAACAAAGGAACGACTCAGAGTTCCTGCCTCACCCTCTTTATTCCATCAGGGAAGCAGTGGGGACGGGAGAGGGGCCAGGGCTCAGGACACGAGAGGCCACCTCTTCAGGGACAAGAATGAGCCACTACCTCCTTCCCACCCCCTAGAGCCCAAATGCAGACAACTGTCCACATTTATATCCACTACCCAGAGAAGACAGTAGACGATAAAGATTCTCAGTTTAAAGATGCTACTGCTATAAAAACTTAATACATCCATTTAAAAATCTTAACATAAAACAACAAAAACTAAACCCAAAATCTCTACTCTGCAGAAAGGGATGTGGCCTCCTACAAAAGCTGGTGGTGGAAATTTTCAGTGGAGGGCTATTTGGCCAGAGACCCCGGGGAGAGGGTGATGAGCCACTTTGTTTTTAAGAGAGAAATTACTGCCTTGAATGTCGCTGATAATTTTACATCTTCTCTCAAGTGGAGGGATGAGAAGTGGTGGATGAATCAGAGGAGAATGATGAGAACAGAGTGGCTGTCTTTTGTCCATGCTAGATGTTTCCTCTCTGTATCTACTGTAGAGAGGGAAGACCCAGAAGATTGCCGGAAAAGGCACAGAGCTATTCCCGAAAGAAGAGGCAAGAGCAGGCAAACGAGACGGTCAGAGGACTCTTGTCCAGAAACTCTCAGGCTTTTAAAATCCCTGAGGCATAGATGAATCCGGGGGGTGCAGGGATGCCATCGAGTCCAGAGGTAAAGCCAGGGTGAGACTGAACAGGACGGACCAAAAGCAGTGAGAAAGCAGGAGACTCCTTCATGGGACTGAACTCCCACCCTGGGTGCTCCTCCTTCGGCAAACGTCTTAGTGATCCGGCCCACACGCAGCCACTCAGCCCAAACCCTACATTCACGCAAATACAATCCAAAATGGCACGACCATCACTTTGGATTTTATGAGTCCAGCAGAGTGACCAACCCAGATCAAGCACCATGTACTTTTCAAAGTCAAATTAGAAATTCAGGAAATGGGCCCAGGAATCTCACTCCACAAAACACTGAAGGGACTGGGCCTGCGGGGCTGCAGTGGCCACAAGGTCAGCAATGGCATCAACTGGAAGGGGAAGGAGGGGAAGGGCTGCCCAACAGGATACAGCTTGGTGATGGACGTGGGATGGCAGCAGGGACCTGGAGCTGCTCGAGAGCCATGATAACAGACATCCCCACAGGTGTGGGGATAACGTTCATTCCTCCTGCCTCAGGGTGGGGGGCTCACTCTAGGATAACCCTCCTCACTGACTCTGAGCCCTGGCAGGAAGAGTGAGTTTGAAAGGAGGGACTGGGCATGCTCAGCTCAGCTGGGCCCCACTCCTCCTGGGAGCCAGCAGGACCCCAGAGCTACGGCTTCCCAGCCCTGTCTAGGTCTCAGGGGGCTGCAGGATGTTACATTTGAACTGGGTCTTATAGGATGAGTTTTCCAAGGAAGCAAGATGCGAGAAAGGGTATCTTAGAAGTGGGGACACAATATATGAAAGCCCGGATGCAGAAGCAGAGCTCGTTCTTTGAGGAGGAGGTAGGCTACTGCGGGAATGAGAGGCACCAGAGCCTGTGAGGAGGCTGACAACACAGCCTGACACTACAAGAGTATCAGGCGGAGAGGCCGGGGAGCTGAGGTGCAGGCGTGCCCACTACAGGCCGTCCTGCCCAAACCACACAGGGCAGACTGTCTGCTCTGAGCCACAGGGCGGCCCTAGAAAGGAAGCAGGGAGATGGGCTGTCTGCTTCCTGAGGACATCAGTGTAAATGGCCAAGCAGATGCAGGGCATCAGTGAGAAGACACTGGGAAATATAAATAGAAATCCTAGCTCTACAGACAAGGAGGTCCACAGAATGCCACCTCTACCCTCCCCAAGTTCCAAAGCACAACAGATACAAACTGGATCAGCTACCTGGCAGAGCTCTGGTCAAGAGAGACACGGTCACGCTCACTGTGTGCTCCAATTTACATGGAATATAATAGACAAATCCACAGAGGCAGAAAGATTAGTGGTTGCCAGGGACAGCGTGGCTGGGGAGAGATGGAGCGTGATTGTTACAGGGAACAGGGTTTCCTTCTGGAGTGATGGAACTGTTCTAGAATTAGATACTGTTGATGGTTGCACCGTTCTGTGAATATACTAAAAATCACTGAATTGTTTACTTTAGATAGGTGAATTGTATGGTATGTGAATTATATCTCAATATAGCAGTTATATTACAAAGAAAGAAAGAAAGAAAAGATGAAGGAAGGCGTGGTAGTGGTGGCCTCCCCGCCTGCCCTCCAGCGCCCTGCACGGCACCCTGTCCAGCTCACAGTCGGCTGCGTATCCGAATTGACACAGTGTGGAGAAGACGGGTAGGTGATGAAGAGATCAGAGGGCAGCCCTGAAGCTTCGATCATAAAGATGAAGCCTCCAGCCTGGAAACGGGGAGGCCGGGAGGATCAGGTCTGGAGAATGAGCTCAGATGGGCCCACGGGGGCTCCTGGGAGACCCCTGGGCTGGGTGGGAGCGCAGAGGAAGGTTTCTCACGATCTTACATCATCTATACGTGGATGAGGAGGAAGGCTTCTGGGGCCTGAACTGGTGGGTCACGAGCCCCTGGTGACCCCCTGGGAGGAAGCAAAGGAGGGTTAAGGGGTTGTTTCTCCCCCACAGAGCCAGGTCAGCCAGGAGGAGTGCCCTGTGCCGCTCCTCCCCAGGTAGAAAGGAGCCAGGGCATGACAAGTGGCCAAAAGGGGCTGCCAGGCTACAACTGGGAGAGCACTGCCGTGGGTGGGAGGCCCGATAGACCCTCGCAGGGGAAACTGCTCCCGGCCTGGCCCCAAGCAGCTACCTGATGCTTCAAGGAGCAGCTGAGGAGCCCCCAGCCACGCCTTCCTCCCAGAGATACTGCAGGGCCCTGGCCACCCGCTTACCGGTCCTGGAGCCGGTCCTGCGTGTCCTTCAGCCGGGCCTTCAGATGCCGGATGCACACCTCCTTCTGCTGCAGGGGGGTCAGGTACTGCTCCGGGGTGGGAGGCTTGATGCCATGGTTGTCACTGCACAGCGTGTACTTCATGGCGCGCCTGCCGGGGACGCTTGTCAGCAAGGAGGGAGGAAGGGGCCTGGCGAGGCGCTGTGCCTCCAGGAGCTAGGGGTCCCGCCTACCCAACCTGGTCCCCTGGCCACTGGAGCGCTGCAGGCCAAGCCTCCCCCACGGGGCCCCTGTGGGCACGAGAACACGCAGCCCCTTTGGGAGGTGGGTTTCATTAAGGCTCTTTCGAGCACAGCGTCAGGGTGGGGAGCTCAGGGCTCCTCTAGCTTGGGCTGGGGAGACACGTCACAGAGCACGTGCACCAGCCTGGCGCCACCCGGGGTGGCGCCCCCTCCGCCAGCCCAGTCCTGGCGCCGCAGCCCAGAGCTCAGGTGTCCACTCTCCCAACCCAGAGACCAAGGCTGAGGGTGGGAGAGGTCTCCCCCTTCGTGTAATTATCCTGGGGCCTGCATGGTAGGCCAGGATTTATCTGCTGTGTATGTGTATGAATGATTTCGTGTGAAAATCTAGTAACTGTATGGCAGCAACCGTTTGAGCCGTTTCTGTGTTGTCATCATCACCACCACCTCAGCATTCATCGTATAGAACACTGTGTGCAAGACTGGTACTAAGGTGGCAGCCTGTCCTTACACTGCCATAAGATGGGTGATAGTTGATATAAAATTAATAATGCATTCGTTTTCTTAGTGTTCTACAACCTTGCTTTCAAAGAACCACATTACCCTACAGTATGCCTTTCTCTCCCAATTGGAGAAAATGCCTATCAGCCTATCATCACAGGTAAGAGGTTTTTAGAAAAATGTAACAATGTTTCTAATACCATGTTTTGAATATGACTGTAATACTGTATGCCATAAAAACTTTATAATGATTCATTCATTAGATAAGCTAGGCAACCATTGCTAGCTTCTCTGTTATCAATGCATGCACACTATACCTGTAAATAAATACAAATTTCTTTTTCACATGATCTTTTCATTTTTGATGTCTAGTCTTAGTAATACATGTAACAGCTACAGTGTTTTGTATCATGTAAGACAATATTGATGTACTGACAGATGATTCATTTTAAAAACAATGTAAACTTACAGTATCAATAAATACAGTATATTGCTGTAAATATATTTCTCTTCCTTATAATTTTCTTAACATTTTCTTTTCTCTAGTTTACTTTATTGTAAGAATACAGTAAGTCCCTTACATATGAACCTTCAAGTTGCAAACTTTCAAAGATGAACGTGTGTTCCTATGTCCAATCACATAAGTTAGTTCACATGGCTGGTGTACTTTTCCAGGTACTGTACTGTAAGATTAAAAATGAATTTTTTTATTTTTTGTGTTTGTTTGTTTTTTATGTATTATTTGTGTGAAAAGTGTTATAAACTTATTACAGTACAGTACTATATAGTCAATTGTGTTAGTTGGGTACCTAGGCTAATTTTGTGGGACTTATGAACAAATTGGACTTAACGAATGTGCTCTTGGAACAGACCTTGTTTGTATGTAGGGGGCTTACTGTATAGTTTATAATACATATAACACACCAAATACATGTCAATCAATTAATTACGTAATCAGGAAGGCTTCTGGCCAACAGTAGGATATTAGCAGTTACGTTTTGCGGGAGTAAAAAGTTATACGCGGATTTTCAACTGCACGAGGGGTCAGTACCCCAACCCCCTTGTTGGTCCAGGGTCAACTGCTCTAGGACACCAGCCCAGGAACACATTCACACAAACGCAGGCAGACCCTTTCCATCTGCATGTGCACGCTCTGGGGGCACACGTGAGCACACACGGGAACACTGGCTGTCTCTGGGCATTGCCCTGTTCACAGCTGTACCCTGCAGCCACAAACGCCCTAGCACAGGGTGGCGCAGACACGCGCACGTGGGGGCGTGTGTGTGTGTGTGTGTGTGTGTGTGTGTGTGTGTGTGTGGTGAGCAGGCCCTGGTCCCACCAGGGCCGAGGAGGAGGAATTCCCACCCAGTGGAGGAGGGAGGGCCGAGGCTTTCACCCAGGGAAGGGGAGCACCCCATGCCGCCAGCAGACCACGGCCAGGCACCTCAACTCACAGCTTCCTGCCGGCTGTTCTGTTTGGGAAGAAACCTCCTTGGATTTTGGCTTAAACACCTGGGCGTGTTCTCACACAATTTGGCAGAGGCCTTGCCGCCATCCAACTCTGTTCCTTTAGGGGACGGGGAGTCCCAGGTCTAGCAAGAGGCAATCACATTTTATGGGTGTAGAAAAGACAGGCCCTGGTGGGGCCCATCTGCTGAAGGAGCCAAGTTGGAGGCAGTTTTAAAAGTTTTGGGGAAGCTGTCTAACATTTACTGAGGAAAAAGTATTTGTAAATCGTAAACTGTTGAAGAGAAAGTGTGGACAGAAGTGGAGGG